GCAATACTAAGTAATTTGGACAATCTCAGACTGAAATCCTCACTGCTTGGAAGGCTTCTTGGCAGTTTTGTTCATGAAGATGGCCTGCATTTTGGTAGCGTCTTTAATAAACCTACTGGCAACGCAGATTCCAGCTGGTGTAAACCAGCTGAATAGTTAATACACAGACCCTCCTGGAGGGAAAAGATTGTTAAAAGGAGTAGAAATGCTCTGGGATCCACAGACAATGGAACTGGTGCTAAAGAGGAGGCCTTCTCTTTCCAAAAAAACCCAGCTGGCCCTCAAAATTAACACAGCACCTGGGGCTGCTCCATTCTAAGGGATGGATCTCAAAGGAAGGGAACCAGCCTCTCTGTGCAGCACAGGTAACTCAAACATGGGTGTGTACATCAGAGCTCCTTAGAGAATATGAGCCTGGTCCAGCTCCCAGACACTGAGCCATGACTATTTAGTTCAAATTGTAGCAGCTCATGCTCTTATTTCTGCAGTTCCCTAGTTTAACACCTAGTGCATTAACCAAGATGACAGTCATCACAGCTAAAGCTCAGCCCACTCTCCAAAAGAGGACCATAGATGTTTGCACTGTGAATGCTGCACCCCGGAAAAGGACAAGCAAATAAAGAGCAGAAGGAGCCTTGCTGCTGGGGTATCCCCATAAGGAAGCCAAAGGGTACCCTGGAGCCCAGATGGATGGAGAGATTCCTTCCTCTGTGGATCCTTCAGCTCCAAACAGTTTGGGGATGCAAGGAAGCTGTGTCCATTACCCTCTCCCAGGATCAACCAACCTTCCCCGCTGTCTGTTTGGCTATCTGCAAATATATAACATGCTATCCAAATGCCTGGATAGGTTTACGAAGGGTTGATAAGGCCCCAGCCATCCCCGCTCAAAAAGGAAACTTTAATAAAGCAAACTGTCCTGCGCTTGGGTTGAGAGGGTCTAATGGTTAGAGCAGTGGTCTGGTTCTCAGGACTCCTGGGTTCTCTTCCCAGCTCTGTGAGTTTAGATGCACTTTAGCTCCCTGTGGCTGAGTTTCCTGTAAACTGGAGATAAAATTACTTGCCGATCTCATGGGGTATTGCATAGCTGCATTAATGAAGTGCGTAAAGTGCAATGAGATCCTTGGGGGGAAAGCGCTGTGCAGCAGCAAACTATTAGTTCTAGACAAGTCCACTCCAGTGCCTACCTAGTCATCAGTGCCTGTGCTGATGATCACAACAACAGTTCTACAGGTAAGTACATTAATTTAGCTTTGGAGCCTGATTTTCCACTGTAAAATATTAACAGCATGGAAGACCTGTTTTTAGGACTTTCACAGGTGGTTCATTTATTAGCAGCAAGAAAGCATTAAACTGATGGGAGGCCTGGGGCGGGGGAGGGATTGTCAAGGTTTCTGATGCTATTAGTAATCTTTGGAATCAAGTTTAAATGCATTTGTATTTGATTTAGGAACGGGGAATTGGATTAAAATGTACACAATAAGACATTCTCATTCTGTAAATGATCCCAGGCATTTGTTTCACTTTTAAATCATTATGGCAAAAAAAAAAAAAAGGCAGATGTAGATGAATAAGGAAATGGAAATAACTTCTCAGTGACAGAAAGATGCAGCAACAGCCTTCGTATCCTCGCCAGCAAAAATCTTCCAAACCATCCCAGTGGTTTGCCACAGATAAAATATATTGTTTCTCCCACCCTCTGGGTTCTATGCATAGAATAATAATGGTTGCCACATCCGTCAGAAATGGTATTTCCCAGGATTAAGGATTCTTTCGAAGGTTTATTTTTATCTCCGCTGTGCAGTAGCACAGGTAGGCAAGCTAATGCAGCTGCATTACAGAACCAATTAACATGTAGTGATGAACTCCATAACCTCAAGGGACTCAGCCTCCATGAAGCAGGACTGACATCACCACTTGTCTGCTGTGTAAATTACCAGCAAGATGTTTCTTCCTCTGTAAGACAACGCGAATCTCCTTGCCACATAATACTGACTGAGTTAGACTCAGCATATTGTATTTTTTCATGCATTAGATCTTTTGCTGCAGCTACTGATTCAGACTATGCAGCTTTCTGAACAACAGCCATATTCATCTCTGGTTTAAGTCCACTCCGTAGTTAATCTCTCCCAGAAGTAATTCCACTCAGTAATGAACATGGCCCCAGAATGTCTGTCTGCTTTCAAGCACAGCTGAAAGATGTACGAGGAAGACAGCATTTTTTGCTGAGAAAGCGAACCAAGGGTAAAGCAGTAGACTGACAGGATATCTCCAAGGGAAATGCATGAAATGATGAGGGTTATTCAGGAGATACTTGACCTCAGAGTCAGTCAGCCCTGAAACAATGTCCTCTTGTAGTATGAGGCACCACTGGACTTCCAGATAAGTCTTTCTTCAAGTAAAAGCAATGTCCTAACTATCCAGGGTCATTAGAGAACTCACAGCCGCTTCTGAAAGAGCAGGGGCACTGCCCATGCGTTCTGCCGAGGTTTTAGTCTTCCCATGTGTCAGGTCCTGATTCAAGTGCTCTGCCCAGTCTAGTTTTAAATGTCCCAAGCCTTAGTGTTGCCTTGGCCTCTATCAGGTGATTGTTTCCCAATCTTAGCTCTTGCCACTGGTGTACCTTGATAAATGCTGCCTCCCCTTAGGCCCCAGCCTTACGAAAACCCTGGATTGCATGCCAAGCTCTGATGGGTATTATGGTCAAATTGGCACGGACTCTTCCCTTCCCTTCCCCCCCTCCCCCCCCCCAAAAAAAACAAAAC